ATGCGAGCACACACATACGTACATGCGTGTACGCACACGCCGCCAAACTCGAAGCAAGCCGTGCGTGTCCGACACGATCCGATTCCTCAAGTCTCTGACTTATGCGACCCGGAGTGCCAAGCCTCGAGGTTTTCGAGTCGACATGCCCAAGTCCTCCAAACCTCCGAGCCAGTTCTCACTTGAACCCTGTACTGCAAACTTGAAACCCTACAGCCATCAAACGTCAAGCCTTATAAACCCAAAAGCCCAGATCGGAAACCCTGCAACCCTTACAAGCCTCTCTCAACACTACACTACTACATGTAAACTCTGCACCCTGTTTGTGCCCACGTATCATATCATGCAATATGACAGGACATAAGAGCAGAGAGACTACAAGGCTACAAGTAGTTTCTAGAACAGTTCTATGTGCCCATGGCCCCGGCCAGGTCCACAATCTCTGAGGCACAGGTCGCCTGTCGAGGCAAAACTTTGGAGACTTGCGGGGCGGATTGTTCTAAGCCAATGTTTTCTGTTGCGCGTCTCGGGTTTATGCTTCCAGACGGCATTCAGGACTTTCTGTGCCGTAGGAATTTGGATGGCTGAGGGCTGCTGAGTTTAGGACTGCCGCTCAGCCGTTCATCCATGCTCGTTTGTTAGATGGTCTTATCTTGAGGAGGCATCTCAGGATATCATGAGGATGACCAGACCACAGGTCTCAAAGGTTTGGACATCTGGACCGACTCGCAAGGCCCATGGTTGCAAAGATTTGCACCTCAGGGCTCCCCTGTTTGTGGTACCGCGGGTCTCAAGAGCTGTTGTGCACACTGAAATGCCGAGTGGCACAAACACACCAGCTGTCACCATGGTTCGATCGAATTCGGTCGTCCTCAGGTCTTCCAAGAGCGCTAAGAAGGCCCTCGCAACACAGCACAGCTCAAAACGCAACAGAGAGCGAGAGCGAGCAAAGTAAGAAACGGGTGTTGGTGAAAGGGTTACAAAGCCATGCCGTGCATGTCAGTGCTCTTGGGTGTGTTTGCAGGCAAGGTGTGATGATGCTCGGTGGCATCGGAGGAGGCATGGGCACGAGCAGTTACGAAAGCCGGAATTCAGGAAGGCTCACCGAAGGCTTGAACTCTTAGGTGTTCGACTGCGGCTTAGAACCTCATATTAACAACCTACCAGTAGCGGCACAGATCAAAAGCAAGTATCCAACGTTGAACAAACGTGCAAGCGCACTTCGAACCACACAACTCCAGCCATTTTACGAAGGGCTCAGCTAAAGGTCACATGCAAAATGTGAACGGGCTTCTTGGGGTCTGGTTCGAAAGTTTCCTCCGGCATAGCTCAGGCATGTGCAGCCAAAGAGCCCACTTGTGAGCGCTTTGGCCGGTGACGTCCCACCAGTCTTTGCCAGGCATGAATTCCTTACCGGCACGACTGTGTTTTGGTAAGGAGAGTGGTTTGGGCTGTTTCAAAGGCTCTATTCCTTGAGGAGCTCTCTACAGTATGTCTATCGCGATGTATCCTTGTCCCTGAGTTGAAGTCATGCGTTCGGACTTCCGCTGCGGGGTCTTTGCTTGGTGAAACCTTGGCAGTGATAATAATGCTCAAACTTTCTGAAGCATTCAGAAATCTCAACGGGCTCACACTAAATCCGAGCAAACTGGCACGCAATTGAAAGCGGGCAAGCAGCGCGGGGCTTTCCTGCGCTGTCCAGCAGCTGCAAGCAGACAAAGCCTGGCTCTTGGAACCGCAAGAACTTGAACAAAAGGCGCTCCAGGGACTACCGTAGGAGATGAACTTCATCAGGGTCCAACGGTCGGTTTTTGTCAACGTCGGCCACCGCATCCGCCCGCGTCGAATAGGAAAACATAAATGGCCCCTTGACCGCAATCGCCGGTCATAGACCTGCATCCTTGGTGCAACAGGCCTGCTGCGATTTCGCCAGGACGAACACTCGATCCCAATCACTTAGAGAGTAAGCGACTCGTGCGCTCAGGCCAGGCGTCCGGAATGATTTCACATGTAAGTAGAATTTGCTGAAGTTTGAAGGAAGTCATGAGCCACTGCCGCTGAAAAGACCGCAACAAGCTTCGGGCCTAAAAAGCCGAAAAAACAGTTACTTGTGTTCGTGTCTCTCTATGGGATGCCTCCGTCCACCGTGCATGTCCCCGTCTCGGAACGATCCTCGCCTCGGCTAGCTTCAGACTGTGCCGCAGCATCGACGGCCAAATTATGAGGAATCCGCAGGTAGGACTTCTTTCCGCAGCATGCGATAGTGACGACAAAACCGACGATGGGGCGACAACACAAGCAAAAGCAATGGCGGCAAGAAGGATACCAAAAACACGGAACACCGCTAGCAGAACGAACGCTGCTGATGCCAACACCGACAACTAGCTTGTCGACTTATATATATATATATATATATGTGGTAACCCCCCCCCCTGGACCAACCTCCG